AGTAGTAGTAGTAGTAGTAGTAGTAGTAGTAGTAGTAGTAGTAGTAGTAGTAGGAGCAGAAGGAGTAGTTGCTGCTTGCTGCTGTTGTAGTCGTTGTTGTTGTTGTTATTGTTGTTGTTGTTGTTGTTGTTGTTGTTGTTGTTGTTGTTGTCGTTGTTGTTGTTGTTTTAATGTGTGTTGTCACTTTAAAGTGCCAAAGCAAGGTCCATTGTTTTATTTATGTAGCTGACCTTGTTGGTATCCCTAACCAAAGTAGCGTACTGGCACACCTTTCGTTAAAGATTGCTGCTCTCAATTATTTTTTCCCTGCCTGTCTCTTCTTGCGGTGTTCAGGGTTTTTCATAGACATTTCAACTCGCTTTCAGTTATTTTACTTTCGTAGGCTAGGTATAAGTACTATTTTCTAATTCTAAGAATGGTGACATAATGTTGGAATGAGCTTTGAACTGATATACTATCTTTTGGCGTTCATTGAGATGTTTTGGTTAGACAAGATGGGTGCAAGCTGATATGTGACGTTGGTTATTTGAGTTCGCATTCCGTCTCCCTGCACAACGGCCTGCTGTTTTCTGTTTAAAAAAGAAAAATTAAATACTGCAAATAAGATTTTAACTCCTTAACCTGTTCAAGTTGTGTGTGTATTTGTTTGTTTGTTTTTATATTTCTTAACTTTACCTTCCAATTAATGAGCACTTTTGTGCTTAGATGTAGTGATTCCAATACAATGTGCAGCGTTTTAAGTTTGAAATCGAAATGTTAATAGAACTAAATTGAAGAAATCATGTTTGCTCGAACAGTTCCTTTCATTTTTTATCTTTTCCACCACTGACCGAAATGTTTCTTCATCCTTAATGCATTGAACATCCTTTATATCGTTATCAATTAATTATATAGCTCTTTCACTGTTTATCTTTACCACCACTGACTGAAATGTTTCTTAATTCTTAATGCATTAAACATGCTTAGTCCGTTATCAATTAATTACCCACTCAAGTATTATACAATGGACAAAAATAATATGGAGAAAGTGGTTAAAACAATAATGTCTTGTAATCAATTGTTCAAATCGCGTTAGTCCGTCTGGCCTAGTGGCCTACATTCTTCTGCTCTTTCAAGTCACGCGGCTGGCACCCTCTGTCACTGTCCCACTCCATGGTCGAGCTGTGTTTTCAGTGTCACGGAAAGTTCGCAAAGATTATACGAAGTCTTATGTTACGGTGGTGATGTTGTTAGCATTGGTGCTTAATCTACTAAACCAAGACAAGCAGGTAAAGACAGAGATAGATAAGGGATAAGATTTTGGTGGGTTTAGTAGTTGTTCATTATTCACTTGAAACTTTAGAGGATTGTGAGTTCCACTGACTTTCATGATTTCTGGGGGGAGGGAGTATGTGCTTATTCCCCTGCCAATTTTTTTCACAGCTGTTTTTGTGATCGGTGGTCGTGTGATTATGGATTTTTAAAACAGCAAGCAGAAAAATAATTTATTAGGCTTTCTGGACTTTGGTGTGCGTCTTGTGTTATTTTGCCTACATGAATTATGAAAAGCCGAGGGAAAACACACACACACACACACACACACACACACACACACACACACACACACACACACACACACGTGCGCACGCACTTCTGACATAGATCTACTCCTGGAATTCCGAACTAGTTTGTATGGCCTTTAACATTTTTTTTACTAATCTTACTGGGCTTTTACTGTTGTGTATATGGCTCTAACGTTGTTCAGTATTTGTGTGTCCTTTGACGCCCTATTGCTGTCGTGTTTTCCATAGTTTGACACAGCTGACTATGTCAAAAGCATTTCTCTACAATGGTGACTTCTTTGAACACGGAAACTTCTTTCTAATCATAATTTCTGCATTATAAATGACCAGTGTGACTATCTTGTCTTATTGTTGTTTGTTTTGGTAAGTGTTTTTACGGCGCTGGCAACTGCATAAGGTCATAAGAGCGCGCGGGACACACCTAGATGTAATACTTTTAGTTGGTAGAAAATTTTGAATTTTGCCCGGGTGGCGGCCGAAGCCTACTCTTATCGATTTTAGACCACCAAGGGATCTTTAACGTGCTTAACTTTTTCGCCCTTGTCCGAGAAGGCTAGGTGTAGATCTTTCCTACCAGAAGATCAGGGGTGTGGCAGAAAGACAGCTGTAAGAAGGAGTCAAGGAGTAGCAGTAGAAATGCTGCAGAAAGAGTCAGGAGCCCAGAGGAGGGGGCAAGGGGGGTGAGGGGGTGGGGGCAGAAAGAGGAGACGAAAGCAGACGACAGGATATTGCTAGAGAGCAGGAAAGGAGGTGAAAGGAGACAATTTTAGAGAAAAACATTTTTCGGTCGCTACCCGGATTCGAACCCGGGACCTTTGAATGGGAGGCCAACACATTAGCCTCTAGGCCACGAGTGCCCCCTATATCTTTTCTGTGATTCGTAGTTTTGTTGAGCATTAATTCAATAATTGTTTTGGCCTGTAATATCATCATTGCTGTACTAGATTTTCTTAAAGCTTTGGGTTGTTTTTTTCCAAGGAGAAGCAAGCATATCTCTTTTCTTGCAGAACTTGCATATTTTCCTCAAATGTAACTGGTATAGCCCTCACCTTAAAACTGGCCATATCTCGAAATTCTATTCAGATTTCTTCAAATTTTAAATAACAGAGTCAATAGGAAATGTCATTCCATGCAAATATGTAATAAGCTACAAAAGTACAGGGGTTTTTTTTTAATGCACATGCAGACTTTTTTTTTCAGGTACGCCTATAATTTCGGAATGACGTCCAAAGTGTTAATCCGGCCAGCACGTATGTCAGATTACTCCGCCGTTGTGGATGGAATAGGGGAATTTTACTTTGGCAGGGACTACTTACGACCAAAGTACCCAGAGTTCCTCCAAGATCCCGAATTCCTGTCCTTTTTGGCAGAGGTTGATGGAGAAGTGGTAAGTTCATTGCTGTCTAAGGGGTAGATCTAGTCGACTGCTGGTTCTCCAACTGATTTTTACGCAGGTGGTCGTTTTTCCTACTTTGTATAGAGACCCACAGGCAGCCACATTTCCACATTTCGAAGGTATTTTATATATATATATATATATGTTTATATTGATTAGGCTATTTTCACATTTGGTAGAAATTAGTTTTGAATTCTTCTCAGATTATAGGACCACCAAGAGATCTTTAACGTGCACAATTTGCACGTGGGAACTCCAAGATTTTTAGCCCTTATCCGAGAAGGCTAGATGTTCGATCTTACCTTACCGAAGATCAGGAGTGTGGTTGAACTGAAAGACAGCGGTAAGCAGAAGCCAGGAGCAGCAGTAGAAAGATTTTTAAAAAGTTTTAGTAAGAGTTTTACGGCACTTGCAACACAATAAGGTCATTTAAGTGCCAAAGAATAGATTATGTGTTACAAGAGAGTAACATGCACAAAAAAGAAGGAGGGGAGAGAAGGACGATAGATGTTTGATAGGAAAGAAGGAGCAAACCACACCAGAGCACCCACCAACCACCCACGCAGTAGAAAGAGTCTGGCGTAAAGGAGGAAGAAGCCCTAAAGAAGGCAGGGGTTGGGGGAGGACGCCGAGAGTGGAGATGAAAGCAGACGACAGAACATGATTGGAGAGCAAGAAAGGAGATGAAAAGAGAAAAAAAGGGGGAAGAGGTTTTATCGAGTACAACATATATACATACATGAATATATTTTTCCATCTCCCTGATTCGAAATGCTATTCATGAAACTCCCGCAGTTCGTCATTGAGAAAATTTTACATTTACCGGAGACAATAATTGCTTTTTACACTTGAATACAGAAGGGAATACAATGAACCAAGACTAAACATAAACTTAGTAAATCATTAGAGGCAAATCTTTACAAATGTAATAATCATTTTTCTATTTCAATGCGTGCTCAGGTCGGATTCTACACCGGACATCTCTTGGACAACAAACAAACACTTGGTAAAAGAGCAGGAAGGATCAAGCACGGGTTTGAAGGTCAAGGTATTTTCACCAAGTTGAGTCATGCCATCGAGAAGGAAGCGGCAAAAGTTGAAACAGTCAAGTGGGAGGTGATGACGTGTGCGAAAAAGGCTGCAGAAAGGATCAGTAAGGGTTTCACCGAACAGAAAGGATTCAAACTGATTGTGCACACGGTAAGAAAGTCTTGACATGAAGAATTTTTTTCTCTCCAGTTCTGACTCCAAAAAAAAGTCAAACAATTAATGTCTGTGACACAAGGTTCAGATGGTTGGTCATTGGATGTGTAGCCTACCTTTGAGCAAAGCATGATAATCCCAACTTAAGGGGGGGGGGGGTGTATTTTAAAAATACAACAACAAGGCACTACACAACGGCGACCAGCAAGGGCACGGTCCTACCATTGTTTTTGCATTGGTGTACTATGTATTATGTATTTGATATTGTTTGTATGTAGTCAGACCCCGTTATACCACCTTCCTCAGGACAGCCATGAAGTTGGCGGTATAGCAGGGTTGGCGATATAACAAGGTTTTCTAGTCTTCTGTTAAATACATGTATCACTGAATGCCCAACGTCAAGGGAACTTGTTTGTCATTCACTAGATGAATTAATGAGTGATCTGTCACTTGGACTTGAGTGTGAATCCTCACTAAATAAAAGCCCCACGGGCATTCGCCAGCCTGAAAATTATCGGGGTGATATGGCAACGCCATATATTTTTCCGTGGGGTCGAGATGGCGAGGTTCCTTTAAAGCTTCTCCTGGCGACCTAAAAATGTAATTCAATTCTTATTTTAAATATTGACCAAGTCCTAAAAATAATAGACACGGGG